TGGAGACTTCACACAGGGGGGACGCGGGGTGGGAAGAGGGGCAGATTCTGAGAAGAGACGAGATTCAAAGGTGGCACCCGAGTCTGGGTGACTGGCAGGAAGACGGGGCCAGGGACAAGGCAGAGGATGTCAGGAAGGGATCGGGTTTAAGGAAGACGTCGAGGACTTCATCTTGGAAGTGACTTGGGGAGAAGCACCATGGAGACGTGGATACAGAGCTGAGGATGGAGGTCAGGGAGAAGATTCAGTGGATAAAGATTCGTGAGAGAGACCCGGCACATGGAATACTGGAAGCAGTGGGTGGTCACCAGGCGCAGAGCGGGACACACAGGCTGGGGGAGGGACAGACAGACAGACAGACAGCATCGAGACGAAGCTCCAGGAGGAAGAGACTGTGGGAAGGGAGTGGCCAGGGGACCCCGGGGAGCTGTCAGGCTGGGGCGGCATGGCGAACGTCACAGACATTCCAGGCAGCCTTTCTGAAAATCAGAACCCAAACAGCAAAAATGCAACACTCAGAGTTAGAAGGGACCCGGGGGCTCACCCAGTCCAAGCACTCATTTCAAGCTGAGGACACGCAGGCCCAGAAAGTCACCTTGGTTTCCTAGAGAGGAAAGGCCCCTGAACGAGGAGGCAGAGCTGGGGGAATGGGGAAGGCCAGGACTGAGAGCAGCGCTTTTATTCTGATTATGTTCGTTAAACCTGATTACTTAACGATTTTCCAGGTACTCTATATGTAAATAACCTGAATTTCTGAGATCTGGTAGTCATCTTTCAGGACAATCAGCAGCGCAGTCAGAATGCAGGTATTTAACAGAACAAGCAAGTAAAGCCACAATGAAAGAAATCAGAGCAGAGAGCCCCGGGCTCTGACTCCCGAAAGCCCTGCGCTCCCTCTGGAGCCCTCCCTGTCCTGTGAGGTGGACAGGCTGGACCCCTGCGAGGAGACGCTTTGCCGGGGACTGACAGTGACTCAGAGCTGAGCACATAAGAACAGTGATCAGGGGCCCCAGAGGCTCGAGGACAGGGCGGTGGGTCCCCACGACCCCCCGGCCGCTCAGAGACCGCTGCAGAGCCAAGGTCCAGGAGGGCCCCAGGGATCGCTCACTGTCCCTTCCGGCTGGCCTGGGCGTGGGCAGTCCCCACCCTTCAGGCAGCACAGACCCTGGCCTCCAGAGCGGGCAGGAGTCTGCTGTCAGCTGGCAGAAGGAAACATATGGCAATGTTTTCCAGAGGATAGTGAGTCCACTGAGTTACAACTTCCTTGAGCTATTTTAAGGTCACTTTATGTGGAGGACAGATCACTTCCAGCTGCCTCAGCACCTGTCTCCAGACCTCTCAGCAGCGTAAGGGCAACATTCTAACAGGCCCGCCTGTCCCGGCACAGGAAATGGGCTCACCCACAGGCTTCCTGGGCGTCCGCTCACTGCTCACGTGCACTCTGCAAGACTGACTCGGGCAACACGAAGCTCCCTGGGAAGCTTGCGTCTATCATCCTGAGGCTGCTCTGCCTGGGCACCTCTGGGACACCAGTGGCACCGGAGAGGTTAAAGCTAAGCAGCAGTCACCAGCCAGTCAAAGCTGGTGTTTCCAGTGGTCACGTATGGATGTGAGAGCTGGACCACAGAGGAGGCTGAGCGCCGAAGAATTGATGCTTTTGAACTGTGGTGTTGGAGAAGACTCTTGAGAGACCCTTGGACTGAAAGGAGATCCAACCAGTCCATCCTGAAGGAGATCAGTCCTGGGTGTTCATTGGAAGGACTGATGTTGAAGCTGAAACTCCAATACTTTGGCCACCTGATGCGAAGAGCTGACTCATTTGAAAAGACCCTGATGCTGGGAAAGACTGAGGGCAGGAGGAGAAGGGGGCGGCAGAGGATGAGATGGTTAGATAGCATCACCAACTCAACGGACGTGAATCTGACCAAACTCTGGGAGATACTGAAGGACAGAAGAGCCTGGTGGGCAGCAGTCCATGGAGTCACCAAGAGCTGAACACGACCAAGCGACTGAACAACAGGAACGCGGCGTCATCCAGGGCGCGCCACACACCCGCCCCGCAGGCAGGGGTGGGCTCCGGCCCTATCTGCGGTCAGCCTGGCAGGGACCAGCAGGGCAGCTCCACAGAGGGACGTGGGTCGGCCCCTGGGACTAACTGGAACTAAACAGGCTAAGGAAACATTCCAGAATACAAAAGCATTATGTGAGAGGAGTTCCCAGAAACCCTTCGGAACTCAGGCTCCACGACGACATTGTGCAAAAGAAAAATAAACTTCATGAATCTTGTACACAAATCAGAAAAGGGACAGAAAGGACAATCTGAGCTTATCAGCAATCCCCCAATCAGGCAGCCGGATGGCATCCAGGAGGCAGCGAGGGCGGTGGTCTGAGCGAGGCCGGCCACTTCCAGGGAGGGACGTCCTGGAAGACGGCCACCTGCCCGGCTCACCAGACCTCAGCCCTGGGTCACACAACTGAGGACAGTAGAGGTTTTCCAAAAGGGGTGCTGTGAACCCACACCCGGGGGGCGGGGGCAGAGAGGAGGGATTAGCACAGGGCAACTGTCCTAGCCTCGTGACGCTTCTCACCAGGCGAGTTATGTGTCCGTCTCACAGCAAATAAAGCTGCTGCCCTTACAAAGTAACAGGGGACTTCCCTGATGACCTAGTGCTTAAAAGTCTGCCGGCCAATCCAGAGGACACGGGTTTGATTCCCAGCCCAGGAAGATTCCCACGAGCCTCAGGGCAACGAAGCCTGCGAGCCGCAGTTACTGACCCTGAGTGCCGCAGCCACTGAGGCCTGTCCACACAAGAGCCTGTGCTCTGCAACAAGTGAAGACGCTGCAGTGAGAAGCCCACAGACCACAACAGGGAACAGTCCCAACTCGCTGCAGCTAGAGGAGGCCCAAGTGCGGCACTGGAGACCCAAATTCCATTAAAGGAAATAAGCAATGTGCCGAAGGTCACGCGGTTAACAGGCAGCAAGAGCTGCTATCTGACCCCCGACAGTTCATTTAATCATATGTGAACAGCTGTCCTTTTAAATAAAAAGTAGGCCCTTAATCTAATTTCCTTTGGGATTTATATCATTCACTGACAAGTATGTATAAAGCAGCTGCTATGAAAGGTACTACTATTGCAGATGCAGGAGACATAGCGATGACGAATTCCTGGCCTTCACGAGTTTAATTCTAGCGGACTAGCACTTCAAAGAAAGCCTCGTTATTTCCAACTCAGGGCCCCAGAGAGGAAGGCAGGGAACAGGCAACCTAACGACCTTTGACATTCATCCACTGACAGGAGAGTGGGACCACACACGCTTCCCTGGGGCTTACCTGTCCTCACTATTCTGACTTACGTGTAACTTACACACACACACCTCTTGAATATATAATAGAAAGCTACCACAGAAAGCAGCGGTACCTGGACATGACACGTGGCCACACCGAGAACATAAGACCCGCAGAGGCTCAGTAAATATCCCAAGGGTCACTGGAGGATGCTAAAGGTACAGGAGGGAGTGGACAGGTCTGGGTGCCTGAGACAACCACGCAGAGACTATCCTAACAACAATTTCCTGAATGCACAAATAATCTACTGAGCGAAAGCACAACATTTGAAGAAATAACATACAGGAAAGACTTGAAGCTCTAACCAGAGACAAAAGCTGTCCACAAAGAGCAAAACAACATGCTCCAACCCTCTGACCTGCCTTCGACTCAACAGAATAAACTGTGATGTGGCCACCGGTGCAGAAGACACGTAAACGTCCGCACACAGCGGGGACGGGCCAGCGTGGGGCAGGGGTCCAGGGGGCAGGTGGGATCTTGGCCAAAGGACTGGACTCTCTAGGGAGTTAGAGAGGGTGCCTCCCTCTCTGAAGCAGTCTGGCTGAAGATGGACGCACACTCAGGTCACATAAAAGTGCTCCAACATCTTCACTCTGCACATCTGAAAATGTCACCATGTCCTCACCGTGAAACCCATCCACAGGACAGACACAGGCTCGAGAGCGAGCGGGAATTTTCCACGGCCCACTGCTCGGATCCTAACCATAAGCACGTCATCACTCCACTCCCCGTAGGTCCCTTTTCGCCCAGAGTGAAGAGGCGGCAGGGGCAAGGCCAAAGCCCCGGGCACTGCAAGCCCCCCTACCCTCCCAGGCCAAGCGTCAGCAACGCGGCTTTACAGACGGGGCGAGGTGGCAATAACTGGTGAACCTGGGTGAAGGGCGTGTGGGGTTTATTGCACTGCTCTTCTGACTTTCTTATATGCTTGGTATTTTCCTAAAAAGAAAGTCTGAACATACCAAAAGAACAAACACACAGCTTCCGAAAGGGTGTGGTGGGCGAGGGGTGAAAACGGTGTCGTTCCCCAAGCTGGGGGCAAACATTGAGTGACGAACCCTGGGTACTTCTCAACTCCAGATCTTGGACTGTCACCTGGCACCATCAACCCTGCAGATTTACCCCAAAAGGGCAGGCGCCAGGGCCGGGGAGGTGGTATCTGACTGCTGCACGCCAAGGTCGGGCTCCTGCTGCCCAGGCCAGCTGGGCCTTCTCAGAGGGCAGTCACCACCCTCCCCGGAGGACGCCAAGGGTTAAACAGGGTTTAAAGGAGCACTGCTTTTTCCTATGCCTTCGGCCAGGAAGAGAAGTACCAACAAGGCAGTGGAAAAATTCACTGCCAAAGGATGAGATGCATTCAAAGGACAACCAACTCCATCGCTGGTCATGCCGGGAAAGCTGGGAGTGGGGCTCTTTAACGGGAAAGGAAACTTGCTCCTTTGTGCACATGAGTTAGTCCGGAAGGAAGGGAAATCTATCTGAGTTCAGCGCCCGCCTGACTAGGCCCTGTCGACCGCCCCCCCACCAGTCTCCTGCCACCGTCTGTCGCCGCCAACCCCACCTCTGCAGAGACCGGCGGACCCATCATCTCCCCTCCACCCCCGCGAGGCCCCTCCCTGGCGGGCACAGCCGGATGTCCGGGGCTGGGGTTTACCGATGTCGCTCAGCAAGGTGAGGATGGCTCCTTCCCGCAGGCCGCAGCAGTTCTCAAACTGGTTCAGGTACTGTCGAGAAGGGGGGAGAGGCGTCAGGAGGAGCAGTCACCAGCCACCAACATGCTATCCACAAGGGTCCTCCGCAATCCAAGGCCATCTGAGCGCTCCCCAGGTCCTGGGTGTGCAGGTGGCTGGGCGGCAGGACTGGCAGGGTTGGAGCCAGGGCAGGGAAGGAGAAAGGAAGCCTGCGAGCTCCTGGAGGTGCTCATGTGTGTGACCCTGACCTGTTCTCAGAGCCTCACCTGAGCCATGGTCTCAGGGAAGCGGGCGCAGTCAGATCAGCCACTGCTGATCCACGGCTCCCAAGAGCCCTGGCAACCCAATGAACCCCTCCTTCAGACCCCTTCCCCTTGCCCTGGGTGGGGATGACAGCAGGGATCACGTGGCAAGCACTCCCCACATGCTGGCACCAGGACAGGGCCAGAAGAGCAACGGGGAAGCACACGATGCTGGGTCCGGGAATGGCCGAACACGGACACAGTATCACCTGGCTGTCCAGCCCCTCAAGCCCCATCCCTGCCCCAAACGGTGCACCTTCTTCCCTAGGGGGGGGTGAGGGGCTGTGGATGGAGGCAACCTCGTTTCAGTACAAAGCCAGCTTGCGCCCAGAGCCTGCACGGTCCTCCTGCTCTTCGCGGATGGAGAGCTGCGTGGATGCGCTCCATGGAGCCTCGCTGCCCCGTCTCACTGCACCCTGCCCTGCCCACCTCTGAGGCCAGCATTGGCGGCCTTCCCAGTTCATGGGTGAAGATGCCGGACCGAAGGGGTTTGGGCATCTGTCTGCCCCCAAGGCCGCTGCAGGACGGAGCTGCCTCAGGATGCGAGTCCACCTGAGGCTCGTCCACCTCCTGGCCCCAGTAGCCTATCAAGGGGCTCGGTATGCTGTGAGAAGCTGGCCTCGACTTCAGAAAGCAACTTCCAGACAAGAAGGGCACCGATGTTAAGTCCATGAGCTACTCCCATACCGGGCACACACGCCTCACTCCTCCGATCAGCTCTGGCTTCTACATTCGCTCACGCACTGGCCGACCCTGTCTCCCTGCCCAGGAGTATGGATTTTGAGCGTTCAGGAGTGGAGAAAAGATAGGCCACTCCACTTGGAACCGAGAGGATGGACCCCAGGCGCTGGGACAGCAGCGCCACCCCCCCACTGATCTCCTCTGGTGACCGCGTGGACGCAGGCCCCGTGGGGTGCCACCCCGCCTCCACCGCACCACCCTGCACCCCGGGCCGGGTCATTACGCCCCAGCCTGTGTCACTCTCTTCCCCGGTGACCCAGCTCCCCTGCTGCCCATGAGACAACGTCAGAGGCCCCCCGCTGCCGTAAGCTGGTCGCCTCCCACATACCGCCCACGCTGCCCGCCAAGGAGTGTCCACTCGGCTTCAGGGACACAGCCTTATCTCCCTAAATAGCTGTAGTTAGTAATCCAGTGGCTGTCAAAGGTTAGGAAAATAAGTGAGGAAAACGGAACTGCTGTCCAGTCCCCGTTTCTCCTATCAGTCCCTGCCCGTGGGCTGTGCCAGTGACTGTGCTCACATCCTGCCCTGACACCCCCGACCAGGAGATAGCCGTTCGGGCATGTGGGCCTCATGGAAAGTCCCTCTGCAGAGAAACAGCGGCAGGGGACAGGAGATCAGCGGGAAAGCAGGTGCCGCTGGTTCTGGGAATGGCTGAGGGGGCACGGGGCACCTGCTGGCTATCCTGCCCTCCCCATCCCCATCCCTGCCCATAACCATGCACCTTCTTCTGGGGTGAGGAGTAAGAGGTTTGCACGGACAGGCAACCTCTCTGCAATACAAAGCCACCTTCTACCCAGAGCCTGCATGGTCCTCGGGCTGTCTTCACAGTACTGTCCTCACAGACAAGAGCGGGGCCCGCAGCTGAGACCCACGGGTGAGACCCGGGCGCTCCCGCTACAGCTGTGCTGGCCCAGCCCCTCTGGGCCACGACGCGCCCCCGCTTCACTGGGGATCCCATCTGTTTCCCCTGCATCACGGGGCTGCTCATGAGGCCATGAGTAAGAGCAGGCCATGGTACCGTTTCAGAGATGGGACACACACGGCCCCATACAGAGATGTGCGGACGTGGTGGGAAGGCAGGCGGGGAGCGGAGCCCAGGAGCTGTGTCAGCGGCAGGTCTGGGTCCCTGGCCCGGCCCGCCAGGGCCGAGTCAGTCCCTTCCTGCCCCGCTCCGTGACCCTGGGCGGCCACGTCTGGGAGAAGCTGTGCTCACAGGGACGGCGACCATAGCGCACCGAAGGGCTGACACAGCCCTGCCTGCTGGGGGAGGAAGGTCTGTCTGGGGCTGGTCCGGCCCCGCCCTGGACTTGGACCAGCGGCGCTCCCTCGTCACTCAAGGGACAGCCGTAGCGTGCACGCCAAGCCCTGCCCTGACCTCCGCGCCCCACCCTGGGCGCCCCCCAACCCCACCCAGGGCCCCGCAGCCTCACCTTGCCCCCCAACCCAGGGCGCCCGCCCCAGGCCCCGCAGCCTCACCTTGCGCAGATCCCCGCCCTGGCAGTACTCCATGGCCAGCAGGGGCAGGTCGTTGGGAGCCAGGCTCTGCATGCCTTCAGGGACATCCCGGGCGGCCACCACGTTGGGGTGGTTCAGCCTAGCGGGGAACGGGAATGGGTGAGGGGGGCGGACACCGGGCCTACCCCTGCCCCCCAGGGCCTCGAGGTGCCAGGGTCTGGAGGGTGCAGGGGCGGGGGCACGGCTGGCCCCTCACCCAGGGCCCCGGTGGCAGCGCTCGGTCAGTGCCATGAGCCCTGGCCCTGCGAGGGCCCTGGGGAGCGTGGTTCTCCTCAGAGGCCCCCCAGCAGGCCCCCCGCGCCTCCCAACTGCACGCCACTGGGTGGGGATGGGGTGTGTGTCTGTGCGTATGGGGTGTACGTGGTGTGTGCGGGGGGAGGGGGGGTGTCGTACATGTGTATGTGGTCTGTGTGTGTGTCTGCATCTGTGTCTGTATGTGGAGTATGTGTGTGTGGTGTGTGTGTCTGTTGTGTGTGTGTGCGTGCGTGTGGTATGTGTATCTGTATGTGGAGTGTGCGTGGTGTGTTTGTGGCATATGTGTCTGTGTGTGTGGCATGCGTGTGTGCGTGCATCTGCTTGTAGAGTGTGCGGTGTGTGTGCACATGGCATGTGTGGTGTGAGTACGTGTGTGTGCACATGCAAACAAGGAGACATCCCTTCCCCGAGGTCGGGAGGGAGCCCTCGCTGGGCTGTGAATCCCCCAGGCCTTCCCAGCTGGGAGGGCAGCCCCCCAGCCCCCAGCCCCAGCACCCCTGGAGGAACAGACTCCAGCAAAAAGTTCACAGCAGGGAGACTCACCTACCAGCTCACAACTGGAAACACTGGGGAAAAAGGATCTTTGCTGACAAAGGAAAGCTCGGCGTGACGGCTACTTTATATCATGTAACAAAGGAAGCCCACCCAGAGCCCTCAGCGGGGCCGGGTGCTGGGCTGTCACTACAGCTGCTCCGGCGGCCGCCCGCCTGGACAGTCTGGCTGGGGCCCTGATACCTGCATCAGGGTATGAGTGCTGGGACTCACGCCTCTTTCCAGACAGCTGGGGCTCCAGGTCCCGAGGCCCAGCTGGCTTCCTCCAGAGTCACTACAGTGTCCCCCGAGCCGCACTGGTCACCCCGAGTGCTGCGGTCCCCCGGCCCCCACGGTCACCCCGAGCCTCTGCGGTCCCCTGAGCCCTGCAGTGCCCCGAGCCCACTGCGGTCCCGCCCCGAGGATGCAGGCGCCCAGGCCCTCACCTCCTCATGATCTGGATCTCCAGGCACCAGCGCTCGCGGTTCCGGGGACTGAGCTCCTGCCGGCACTGCTTGATGGCGATCTGCTCGCCCGTCTCCTGCAGAGGACGATCAGACAGCTAAGGGCCAAACCCACCGCTGTCACCTCTGGGCACAGAACACAGCCTGCGCTCAGCTCCAGGCTCCCGAGGCCGGCAGCGTGCCTGCTTCACGGATGTCCCAGAGTCCCCTCCAGCCCACCTTCGAGCCTGCCCCTGCTCATCTCTATGCACCCCACGTCTGCACCCAGGCTTTACTCCGTCCCCATCTCCCCCTCGAGACCTCTTCGGACCATTTCTGCCCAAGAGAATCCTCATTCCTTGACCCCTGGCACTACTGGACTTGACCTCGGCCCCATGCAAAAGGCACTTTCCTGCGCTTCAGCCTAACTGTTAACACCCCGGCTTCAGGTTTCATGTTTCTCCCGCTGGGGGCAGGTGGTGGGTGGGGAGGCTGTCTCTCTCTCCAGAGAGAAGGCAAGCCTGGTATAGGAGATGGAACACATGCTGATCAAATCCCAACACAGCCATTTACCAGCTCTGTGGCGCTGGGCAGACCACGGGCTCTGGCTCGGCTTCTCTATCTGTAAAGTGGGAACACTGATACCAGCCTTCTAGGGGGTGCCTTGGAGCTGAGCCCCTAGCAGCGTCCAGCCCTTGGCAGGCACTGGGCAACACGCCTGGGGGTGGACCCATGCAGGCACCGCTGGCATTTAAAACTCCGTGAAGCTGGGCTCTAACCCACCTTTCCATCCTCCTCCTGCGACTCCACCCAGGCCTCCGATGCCCGGTCAGGGTCAGACTGCTGCCTCGGCCTGTGCCCTCTGGTCTCTGCTCTGGGGCAAGGCCCGGGTGCCCCCCACGGCAGGGACTCCTGCCCTCCTGTCTCAACAGGGCACTCCTTCACGGCACTTACCCACCAAAGACTTATTTTCTGCAGGGTCACACAGTTACTTTCCCTTTTCCCTGTTAAACTATAGGCCTGTCCATCCTCAGGAGTTTAACCTCTAATGCAGTAACTGATATAGTGTCCTCCGTGGAAGCTTCCTGAACAGGAAGGAGGGAATCGCTACAATTCTTGTGAACGACAGATGGCCTGGGTCCCCAAGATTAACTCTTCCCTCCCCTGGGTGTCCAGGCAGCACCGAGAGCCCGTGGCTGCCCGCTCCTGGGCCCCGGGGGCTCCCGGGACGGCCGAGGGACAGCAGTGGCCTCGGCCATGGCTCTGGGAGCAGCAGCCAGGGGGCCAGCCTGGCTGACCATCAGCGAGCGAGCTGACCTCCGCCCCACCCAGCAGATCCCAGGCCCCTGCGCTGACAGTCACCTAAGAGCCCATACGCCCTTGGGCCAGCCCTGACCTGCAGGGCAGGCAGAGGACAAATCCAGCAAGACAAGGATTCAGAATGGTACCAGAATTCCACTGGTGCCCAAATGAAAGATGGGAATCCTAGAGGCCCCATTGGACCATTTTCTCTGCTTATGAAAACGTGCATTACAAGGAATCCTAAGTCTTATAAGTGCAGGAATTCATTCGGTCCAGATTGGGACTCAACGGATGCACGTCAAGGTCGTGGCAAGGCCCTCAGGAACACGTGCTTCCTCAGGGTGGCAGACGTACATCGGGGTCACAGGTCCACCAATCCAGCCACGATCCCTGCAGACCAAGGGCCCACCCGGGAGAAAGGACAGTGGGAGCCAGGGCTCCCCTGGTGGTGCCAGTGGTCAAGAACCCGCCTGCCCATGCAGGAGACGTGAGAGACCTGGGTTCAGTCCCTCGGTGGGGAAGATCCCCTGGAGGAGGAGATGGCAACCCACTCCGGCGTTCTTGCCTGGGAAATCCCATGAACAGAGGAGCCTGGCGGGCTGCTGCCCACAGGGTCGCAGATTTGGACAGGACTGAAGCGACTTAGCACACACGCACGCAGACAAGAGACAGACAGTGTTCACGAGGACGCCTGACTTGTTGGTTAGCAGACCCGTCCCTAAAACCGACACTCACGAATGAAAGCTTCGGGAATGAGGTGGAGGCATCTTTTGACCGTGCTGGGTCCAAGGCCAGAAGCAGATACTTCCAGCACCCCCAGGGCACTCTCCCAAGTGGCTTCTATCAAGTAAGTCCCCACGCGGCTGTGATTAAGCCTCAGTCACGCAGTCACCTTATATGCTTACTTTTTTTTTTTCAACAGCTCTACTGAGATATCATTCACACACCATTCAACTCATCCATGGAAAGTACACACGCTGATGGTCTGGGGTAACTCAGAGCAATGTGGCCAAAGCCACAGTCAGTTTTAGAACATGCTCACCAGGACCTCCCTGGTGGGCCAGTGGCTAGGACTCAGGGCTTGTGGTGCGGGGGGCCAGGGTTCGGTCCCTGGTCGGGGCTCTAGACCCCACATGCCACAACTAACAGCTTCACATGCTGCAAGTAAAGGTTCCACATGCCACACAAAGACTGAAGATCTCAAGTGCTGCAACTAAGACCCAGTTCACTCAGTTCAGGTCAGTTGCTCAGTCGTGTCCGACTCTTTGCGACCCCATGAACCGCAGCACGCCAGGCCTCCCTGTCCATCACCAACTCCCAGAGCTTGCTCAAACTCATGTCCATCAAGTCAGTGATGCCATCCAACCATCTCATCCTCTGTTGTCCCCTTCTCCTCCCGCCTTCAATCTTTCCCAGCATCAGGGTCTTTTCAAATGAGTCAGTTCCTCGTATCAGGTGGCCAAAGTATTGGAATTTCAGCTTCAGCATCAGTCCTTCCAATTAATATTCAGGATTGATTTCCTTTAGGATGGACTGGTTGGATCTCCGTGCAGTCCAAGGGACTAATTAGTTAATTATTTTAAAAGAGAACATACTCATCATCTCCCAAAGAAATCCCTACCCCCAGGCCTAGACAAGCACCCATCCACAGATGGGTGCCTCTACAGATTTAGCCGTCTGGACGCTTCAGATAAAGAGGATCGTACAAGACGTGGCTTTCTGTGATGGCCTCTCGCCTGGCAGTATTTCGAAGGCTCACCTCTGGCGGCCCACACCTGCTCTGAGCCACGCTCCCCGGCATCGCCCATGGCAGCAGGTGCTGACAGCCAGGCTCTGCCACTTCGTCCACTTACTGCGCCGTTAGAACCCCGATCTCTGGCCAGGATTCAGAGGTGCCCCTGAAGAAGAGCTGACCTCTTTCAAAAACTGGCAGTCCTGCTGCTCTTGAACCCACCAGGACAGCTGGACAAGCGACCTTGGATGGACATCCAGCTAGCACTGCTCAAGAGTTAGGGTGTCAAGAGGCCACGATTTCTTGCATCGACAACCAACCAGACTGCGTTATTTCGCACGAGACTTTCCACCCTCTGCAGCATGAACTTCCCGAATCCCCTGCTCTCAAACTGATTCGAATCTGCTTTCGAGTTTCACTTCCCGTTAGGGTTCAGACTCGTATTTTTTGCCCAGTTCTCTGGTAACTCCACCGACAGCCATCCCCATACAAGTCAGGAAGCTTGTTTGCAGGTGGGCGGGGACGCACAGAAACCCGAGCTCCCGCCATGAGAGGGGACGGATGGCCACGCTGCAGAGGGAGGTCAGGCCGCCAGGAGTGTCCGCTGAGCACGAGATGGACGGTTGTTTTAAGCAACCGTTCAGTAGAAGATACTGCAACTCGTGGCTTGTTACTGCAGAATGTCTCCTCGAGTTTTTAAAAATCTGCACCTACTTTAACATACACGACCATGCACTCGTTTTCTATCGCTGCTACAAGAAACAGCCACCAGCTCGCTGGCTTAAGACGACACCAACTTAGTTCCCGATGGTTCTGGAGGTGCAAAAGTCTGGTAAGTATCTCACAGGACTGAAATCAAGCTGATGGCGGGCCATGTCCTCTCCAGAGGCCCTAGGGAAGAATGCCCTTCATGTCCGCCATAGAAACTGGGGTCTGCCTGCAACCTGTGGCCCACGGCCCCTTCCTCCAGCTCCAAGCCAGCAGTGACCAGTCAAGACTTTGCAGCTGTGCTGCTGACACTGAGTCTTCAGTCTCTCTCATCACTTCCAGTGACCCTCGTGGTCACACTGGGTCCACCCGGATCGCCCAGGATGAGCTTCCCAACTCAGGTCAGCTGATGAGCAACAGATTTCCCTCTGCAGCGTAACCTAACACCTTCACAGGCTCACGGGGTTCGGACGCAGACACCTTGGGAGAGATCACTAGTCTCCTGAGCATAAACAGTATGCTTCCTTCATGAGGATGACGGATAGGGCTTCGTTAGTGGACCAGTGGTTAAGGATCTGCCTTGCAGTGTAGGGGACATCAGGTTCGATTCCTGGTCTTGGAAAATTCCACATGCTGTGGAGCCACTAAGCCATGTACCGCACGACTGAGCCTCTGCTCTAGAGCCCACGACGCACAACTACTCAAGGCCGTGTGCCCAGAGCCTGTGCTCTGCAACGAGAAAAGCTCCTGCATGAAGGGCATGCATGGAGGGCATGGAGGCCATGAAGGGCAGCCCACACTTGCTGCAACGAGAGAAGAGGCCGAGCAGCAGTGGAGACACAGCACAGCAACGCCAAAGTAAGTGAGAAAATAAATGAATGAACCTTAAAAAAAAAAAAAAGACAGATAAAGTCAAACCCAAAGGGTAGACATTACATGACCTAGAAAATATTTTATAGAATCTGTCTGTGTATACACTGGGTGATTGCAGATAGCTGTAATTTCCTGCCCAACATAAACACCGGAGCTCACACACAGCCATCACCTGGCCCATCCCAGAATCCACTGATAGACCCCAATACTGAAGACTGGTATTAAAGACTGAAGAACAGTCAAACTCAACCTAGAGTGAATTTCGTATGTGAACGTGGAACGCGCCATGGGGTTAAGTGGGCACAGGCCCCAACGCTGAGTGGGCAGCTCAGCCTGGTCCTGCAGTGCCAGGGGAAACCCTGCCTTCCCAGGCCTGAGGGTCCCACACAGACACAGACACGTCATACCCTGTGACCTTCTAGGAAGTACTCTAGAACATTCCCGTCTTTCCAGGACTGATCTTTCACTTGAAACAGGAACCCA